AGGCTGGTCTCGAACTCCTGAGCTCAAACAATCCGCCCGCCTCGGCCTCCCAGAGTGCTAGGATTACAGGCGTGAGCCACCGCGCCCGGCCTGGTCCTTTTCTTATATCTCCAAATTCCCTTGCTCTTCCTTCATCTACTACTTCAGTCACTCAGCAGTTGTGTATCAAGCACTAACTACTCTGTGTTAGCCCCTGCTGCTGGCCACTGGGCCTGCACCTCACCAGAAGCAGGTAGCATCAGCTTCTGAACCACGTCAATAGTCTAGCGCTTTACCTCAACTGGCATCGCTTTTAAGTGTAGTCACAAAAAGGCAAAGCATGAACAAATAGTTTGTAATTCTAACAAATTATATTCTGCTCATTACCAATAATTATCTCAGGAGTCCTATAATATTAACAAGTACAAAATGGTAACATCAAAAAATAATACCTAACAACAAAAGCATAAGCGATAAAATATATAGATAAGATGGACATCATTAAAATTAAAAACTTTTATGCATCAAGAAAGTGATGTGGGAGGCCGAGGTGGGAGGAGTGCTTGAAGTCAGGAGTTCGAGACCAGCCTGAGCAAGAGTGAGACTGTCTCTACTAAAAAATTAGAGAAATTGGCCAGGCATGATGGCACATGCCTGTAGTCCCAGCTACTCAGGAGGCTGAAGCAGCAGGAATGCTTGAACTCAGGAGTTTGAGGTTGCTGTGAGAGCTAGGCTGACGCCACGGCACTCTAACCCAGGTGACAGAGTAAGACTCTGTCTCAAAAAAAAAAAAGAAAAAAGAAAAAGTCAAAAGATAAGCCACAGAATGAGAGATGAAAAAATACTTGCAAATCACGTATCTGATAAGGCACTTGAGTCTAGAATACATAAAGAACTCCTGAACTTAATAATTAAGACAAACAACCCAGTTTAAAAAAGTATCTGACTAGACATTTCTCCACAGAAGATATACAAATGGCCAATAAGCATAGGAAAAAATGCTCAACATCATTAGCTATTAGGGAAGCGCAAATCAAAACTATAAGGAGATACTGCTTCATATGCAGTACGATAACTATAACAAAACAATAACAAGTGTTGGGAGGATGTGGAGAAATCAGAAGCCCCATACAATTGTGATTTCTGTTAGGCATAGATGCCTCCACTTTGGAAAACAGTCTAGAAGTTCCTCAAAAGGTTTAAAAAGATTAAACATTAGTTACCACATGACCCAGCAATGCTATTCTTCTACCCAAGATAAATGAAAACTTATGTCCATAGGAAACTTATACATGAATATGCAGAGTTAGCATTATTTGTGATAGACAAAAAGTAGAAACAACCTAAACATCAATGATAGATGGATAAGCAAAATATGATCTATACATACAATGGAATATGATTTGGCAATATAAAGAATGAAGTACTGACACATGCTACAACATAGACGAACCTTGAAAATAAACTCAGGGAAACAAGCCAGTCACAAAGTACCACATATATACGGTTATAATTCCATTTATGTGAAATGTCCAGAATAGGCAAATCCATAGAGACAAAAAGTAGACTGGTAATTTTGTGGGGCTCGGAGGATTTAGGGGGTATGGAGGGGGTGGCGGCGGCGGTGGTGCATGTGTAATGGGGAGTGACTGGTAAGGAGTACAGGGTTTCTTTTTAGGGTAAGAAAAATGTTCTAAAATTGAGTCTGGTGATGGACACACAACTCTGAATATACAAAAGCCACTGCACTGAACACTTTAAACGGGTGAATTATATGGTATGTGAATTCTATTTCAGATAGAACTGTTATTAAACACAACACACAGAGTAAGCAAGAGGGAAGTGAGACAGATGAATCAAGAATTTAGCAGCCATATTTCACTGAATGAAAGGGAGTGGGTCAGTTAACTACAAATGAGTCATTAGATTGGTTTCGAGCATCTTTACAACCAATCTATCCAAATACCTACAGTTAAAAGACATCTCATTTTGTGATAAAAGGAAAAACATGAGCATACCTAGAGAGGCTTTCTCTCTCTTTTTTTTTACACTATCTTCTAGAGCAGGAATCAGTCTTTCTGTAAAGGGCTACACAGTAAATATTTCAGGCTTTGCAGAAGACATACAGTCTCTGTCACAGATTCTTTCTCCTCTATAACCCCTTAAAAATGTAAAAAAAAAAAAAAAAAAAAACCAAAAAAAAACATGCCCTTAGCTCCAGGGTACAAAAAGAGACTACTGCTGGCTGGATGTGCCCACAAGCCAGTATGGCAACACCTGTTCCAGAGAACATATGCTTCCCCTTTGGTGATGGACAGTGGACCACACTGGACAATGGCTGAGTCAGCAATCTTGCTAGAGGCACAAAAACACTTAATTGACTTTTCTTTTTTATAAGAGAGAAAGATCAAGGAATAGGAATGTTCTGAGTGCCACACTCTCTTAGCCTCCTGCATTTCAAAACTACCTGGCCCTAGCCTAACTTCAATCCTCTTGCTGTAACATCATGCCACTTTTTGCTCTGAAGTCAGAGAAACAGTCACCTGTGCCGACCCCCCTACCCCAACCTTAGACACTCTGGGTCTAAGTAAGGCCCCGGAGGCTCAGTCTTTTCCCCCTATACTTCTTACCATTAAGGCAGCGCCTACGATACTTGTGGTAGACGTGTTGTGTGAAGCCATTTTCCTTGAGCAGCTCATGGGAAGGATGCTGAAACTTGGGCAGTGACTGAGGTGTACAGCCATAGCTGCCAACTGCAGGTGTCCCTTCTGAGGGGCTGGAGCTACAGAGGTCACAAGAGAGAGAGTGTCACTGGTCACCTCCCGCCATAAAGTCAGGAGGGGTCGCTCTGATCCCTTCTATCAGCCAAGATCAGCCTCTCACAGGGAACCAGACAAGGAGGCTCAGGTACTGTGCTGAGCCCTTAACTTACATCTGTGGGTCTGAGTAACTCTTTGCATCAACCCTCAGAGAATTTTACAAAGAGGTCACTGAGCTTGGCTCAAGAGACTGGGAGACTCATCCAGGGACAGGGAGCTATTTAATGGCAGAGATCTGTCCAACACCAAAACCTCAGCTTTTACTCATTTATTTATATAATCTTTTTTTTTTTCTTTTTTAAAGAGATGGAGTCTTGCTCTATCACCCAGGCTGGAGTGCAATGGCACACGTGTAGCTTACTGCAGCCTCGAACTCCTGGGCTCAAATGATCCTCCTGCCTCAGCCTCCCGAGTATACGTAACTTTTAACATTTAACTTTACTTAATGAGCCATCATGTCAATCCACCTACAGTTGACCCCCTTGAACAACACAGATTTGAACTGCACAGGTCCACGTATATGAGGATTTTCTTCTGCCTCTGCCACCCCGAGACTGCAAAACCAACCCCTTCTCTTCCTTAGCCAACTGAATGTGAAGGCCAACAGGAAGAAGATTTTATGATGATCCAATTCCACTCAATGAATAGTAAATATATCTCTTACGGACTTTCATAATAACATTTTCTTTTCTCTAGCTTACTGTATCATAGGAATACAGTATATAATACATAATATACCAAATACGTGTTAACTGTTTATTATTTTATCAGCAAGGCTTCTGGTAAGTAGTAGGCTATTGGTAGTTAAGTTTCTATGGAGTCAAAAGTTATATGTGGATCTGACTATGCAGGGAGTCAATGCCTCTAAACTTCTCATTGTTCAAGGATCAACTGTGTATTTTTTTCTAAAACCACGCCTATTTTCAGCCTATGCCATCTCTGCAGGGACTAGAGAGAACAGGCTGGTAGCTCCCAAACCTTGAACACTGGGGCCATTCTACTGAAATAAAAAGGAGTCTGGGCCCTACCCCCAGAAGCTGAGTCAGTAGATCTATGGTGGGGCCAAGAAATCTGTATTTTTATTCAACTACATTGCTATCCTCTCTCAGGTGGGCAGCAGATACCCAAGCTTAGAAATTAATGCAGAGATATTCTCTGAGTGTACTAAAATCTTGTCCCATGTAGCTGCAACACCACTTCTTTAGAAAGAAGCCTCCGCTTCCCACGTCCTGAACTAAGCTTTCCATACCACCGCTTTTTGGACTTAGATGAGGGCTCCTTTAATTTTCAGACCAATTTTCTTGGTCCGGTGGATTTCACGGCTCCCCTACCCATCTCACAAGCAGCCTGGTATCTTCTCTCCTACTACCCCAGGTACCTGATGGAAGCAGTCCGGGGCCTGTGCTCACGGGAATCCATCACCCAGCCTACATGGCTCTCCAAGGGTGGATTTGAACTGTGTCTTGTCTTCCTTTTTCGAGGCATCTGCAAAGGTCAGTCCGGAATTTGTTACTATTTGTTTGTACTCCTACAACTCTGAGGAGCATTAAGCACTCACAAGACTAAGATGCCCTCGTGTGTGTGTGGTATCTCACATTCTACAACAGCATTTGCACATCTCATATCTCTTCTCTCACATCATGTTCCCAGCTGTGAGCTAGGAACTGGCGTGCCTATTTCACAGAAGCCTCAAAGAAATTGAGGCTTGGGAGTCAAGTGATTTGCCCAGGAACTCATACTTGGTCAGTCCTCTTAGGCCTTTTCATGGCTACATGGTGCCACTACTCCCACACCTAGTTTATTTTGCAGATGCGGTCATTCAATCCTATGTGAGCCCGCCAGCCTAAGAGAACAAAGCAGGCAGGAGATTCAGTACCTCCTTGGCTCAGACAAGGCAAGGGAGAAGCAAAGCACTGGAACGTAGTGAGGTGGGCCGAAAACTCTTAGCAGCTTAGTAGGAACGCCTCACCTTGGCATCTAGTGTTCGTCCTTCTTTCACCACTGGGTAAAACCGTGATGTCTGGCTTGAGTCTTTAAGCTGTGGTGTCCGGGGGGTGCGGGGGGTCCTGGCATTACGGTAGTTTGGCGACTCTGGGACAGTGGTTGGTAGAGAGCGGGCAATGGTGGAGGGCTCCGGAGCACCAAACAACTTGTTGGCCAGGGCGTCAGTGGGAACTACAGAGAGAGGAGGGTCAGCATGCAGGAGAAGGCCCCCCAGTTTGAGGGCTCCAGACCCTCCCACCCACACCTGGGTCTCAGGTGCTGGCCCCTCACCTTGTTGGAACCGAGGTGGCCCAGGAGGAACCTCCTGGTTGGGATCCACAGGGGGCTCAGGGGTCAGTGTGTCAAACTGCTCCCGGCTGATCATGTTGACTTTCTTGAAGTTCTCGACTTCTTGCTACAGAGGATATGAGAAGGGTGGGGAAAAATGTTAGTAAGCAGGCTGTTCTAGCCTGTTTAGGAATCAAGACTGGCAGGAAGTTCGAGAGGGCAGCTCCCACGTCCACACAGGCAGAATTCTGGTTCCCAGGCTCTAAGCTGCCCCATCACCATTCCTCAACCAGTCACATTGGCATGAGTGTGCTAATCCAGAAGAGGACGGTACTTGCCCCATCCTTCCTGCAATACTGAGATCAGGCTGAAAACAGCTCCCCAGGACTCACTACAGACTCCTCCGAACAAAAGCTCCAGTGCCTTCCCACATCTCTTTCTGCCACTGTCTTATCATAGTGGCTGGGCAACTCTCTCCTTACCTCCAGCAGACACATTGCTACTTGTTAGACTGGCTCACCAAAGGCTCACCCACCACCAAACATACCCAACTCTGTAAAATCCTACAACAGAGATGGTTTGACTGTTTCTAGGCAGCAGCAATTTTCTAAAGGACCTATCTTTTCTCCATTTTCCACATTTCTGCATTTTCAAGGCAAGATCCTCAAAAGGCTTTTCAACTTTTATATATGCCTAAATATTGACGAAGAAAAGTGACAATCTAAACCTTACTCTATTTCCCACAAAAGTGTCTAGCCAACTGCTATGACATTAATACAGATGCTCAAGTAGGACAATAATCACTCCTCACCACATGCATGGTTTACATATTCACACACCTCCACTCACTCTTAATGTCCCAGCAAGGTGTCAATCACCACCCCCTTCTCATACATGAAAATACTGAGGCTCTGGACTAGAGGGACCTGCCCAAAGTCACATAGCTATCAGCCTTCCTCTTCTTCAGATATTACAGGCCTCCTAGGCCCACACTCACTGCTAAGTCCGAGCCTCACCTTGATCTGAGAATACTCAGGTTCAAACTTCTCAGTCCACAGGTCCTGCTCATAGTAGAAGAGGCCATCATTAATGACCTTAGCCAGCTCGGCGCTCATCTTGGCACGTGAGGTGTGGTTGCCTGTACGGTCCCCCCCTGGGTGCCGGCGCATGTAAGGTGGCGTCTGGGTGACAATCAGGATCTTGTTGACATCCCGGTCATCAATCTCATAGTCAGAGTCCTCATCAGACCAGGCAGTGAAGGTGTTCTTCCTCCCATCCATCTGTTCCATCTCCTCATCAAACAGGAAATCCAGTTCCTCCTGCTCATCCTGATCCTTGGACATCAGCTGCTGGGAGGGCAGCTGCTGTGGCAGAGAGGTTGGGTGGGCAAACCTGGGCTCCTCTGACTTCTAAAACAGGGACAGACCAAGGGACAGGGAATCACCAGGGGTCCTTGGACCAGCCAGTGCCTATATATTCAGTGCCTAGATTGGGACCCAGCTATAGCAGGTGTCTAAATATTTGATGAATGAGCAAATACTACTAATACTAGGTAAGTACGAAAAACCTAAAAGCAGAATAATGAGCAAAACAAGGTATCCCTGTACTTTTGGAACTCACAGTTTAGTGGAAAAAAAGTTAACCAACCAGCCAGCCACAATGTGGTATGATAAAGGCTATAAGGAGGTTTTGTGGGAGCACACAGGGAGGGGTGCTTAGCCAGCTGCGAGCTGGAATCGGTAGTTAGGGAAGGCTTCCTGGAAGAAGTGACTAGCAAAGGACGAATTAGTAAGCCAGATGAAGACAGGGACAGAGTGTGCTAGGCAGAAAGAACAGCATGTCCCAAAGACAAGAGAAAACGGTGCCTCCAGCAAGGAGAAAATATTGCAGTGTTGACAGAATGAATTTATCTGAGACTTTGGGGAAGAAGCATTTGTCTACCTCACAGTATTTATCCAAAAGTCAATTCCTTGCTATGCCAAGAGCTTCCCACATAAACTCCAAACCTATCTCTTTTAAGGTTCAAGATAGGCCAGGTGGGAGTAAGGGCTCTAATTCTGGAATAGGAAACTAAGTCTGGCTCCCATCATTCCAAAGCTTTCATAGTCTATAAGGGCTAGACCTTATAAAGTCCTTGTCTACCTACCACCTTCCTCCTAATGATTCTGGCCTGATCTCTGTAACACATTTCCGAAGGGCTGAAGCTAGAGCAATGGGAAATTTTGGGTATGAACAGGCAGGGAAGAAGCAGCAGATGAGAGGCAGTCAGAGTAGTAAAATAGATAAGGCAGCACAGAATTTCACAGACTCAACGTCCAAGGTCAACTCTCAGGTATCCTCACAAACCTCAGACCAAAGAGGTCTCCAAAGTAGGGGTGAGTGTGGGGAGGTAGATGGAGAAAAAGTCAGTGCTTGGAAAGGAAGCCATAATTTTAGTTGAGATTAGAACACTTTAATTAACAGTGGACTCCATCTGTAATATACATATTACTTTACTATTTCTAGCAGTCTTACCCCTCCCACCCTTTATCTTAAGATGGGGAAACTGAAGCCCTGAGATATTGAGCAAGCATCCAAAGGACACCAAGCCATCAGAGCAGGAGACCTGAGTTCTAGTCTAGACTAACTCCACATCTGGGCCATGCATCTGCTCCCTCTCCCTTCCCTCTTCTGCAGTTCTGAGGTTCTTATATATTGAACAGGGAGAATATATTCAGAACAAAGGCACTGAAAATATAGTCCCAGGGATTTAGATGGGGCAAAACAACCAGCCAAGAATCAAGAAGCCTGGAACATTGCTGCCAGATGCAATAACATCTCTTCCTATGAAAAATGCTACTCAGGAACTCACATAGTAGTGTACCCTAAGGGGTGGTCCCCATGGAAAATGGAAATAAGCCACATCAACCTTTCTATAGTAACTGCTGGTGACTTCCACTCACATTATGACTGTGAATATCCAGCTTTCCTTCTGGCCCCTCAGGGTTAGAACTCTGAGTCATGATATTCCCTCCAAGCACTCCAGCCCAGGGCCCTAGAACCTAGGCTCAGGACCGGCCTGACTCACCTTCGGCCGTGCTGGGGAGGGGCGAGGCCTCTTCTTCACTTCAATCCAGTTCTCAGAATCCAGGTCAGGCAGACTGGCAGACAGGCCCTTGGGCAGCGTCTTTAGGTTGCTGACCTCCTCTGTTTTGGTTGGCACTGGGGTGACTGCACGGGGAGAGCCAGGTGCTGACTCTGAAGGGTAGAAGGGTAAGGTGCTCATCCCTCCAGTCCTCCTCCTGAGGCCAGCCCTGAGGAGGATTGCTGGCCAGAGGACAACAAAGAGGCATCCTTACGCCAGTAGGAACATACCTGTCTCCTTCTGGTAGTGCTGGCGGGGGACAAACTCGGGGCAGTTGAGAAGCTGGGAGAAATCAGTCTGCGAATAATCCACTATTGGGGGACCAGGAAGAGGCCACTTCTCAGGCTCCTCCCTCCTACGAACTTTCTCATCAACAATCTCCACCACCTTGCTGTCTTTTAGGGCCTGCAGAGGAGAAGGAGGGAGAAAGGATGTGGAAGAAAGTCTGGAACAGACTGAGATCTTGGAAAATGGTGGACAACTAGGCTCCCATAAGCTTGGGTATGAGTCCAATGCTAGCAGTAGTACAAGAAAATTGGCACCATTTTCCATGACTGGTGAACATATGAGATGTTCAACCTACAGGAGGTACTAAAATGGAAAACACACCTACCCTTTAACCCTGCCAATCTACTTCAAGCAATCTGCCCTAGAGAATACCTGCATAAACAGGTGACAGGTATGTATAATAGACAAAAGGCCACTCACAGCAACACTGTAATAAGGAAAAACTGGAAACTACCTAACTTGCCATCATATAGGCAATTAAAGTAATTTATGGCATGTCCATTCAATAGAACACTTCTCAGACATTTAAAAACAGCTTTACATGTGCTGAGGTAGAAAGAGCCACAAAATAAATATATTAAGTCAAAAAAGCAGGTATAGGTCAGCCTAAGATTCGTTTTTGTGTCTGAATGTTTTCTTTTCTTTCTGTTTCCTTGTTTTTTTTTTTTGAGACAGGGTCTTGCTCTGTTGCCCAGACATGAGGGCAATGGCATCATCATAGCTCACTGCAACCTCAGACTCCTGGGGGCTCAAGGAATCTTCCTACTTCAGCCTCCTGAGTAGCTAGGACTACAGGCACATACTGCCCCGCCTGGCTAATTTTTCTGTTTTGTAGAGGCAGGTTTTCACTATGTTGCTCAGGCTTGTCTTGAGTTTCTGGGCTCCAGTGGTCCTCTCGCCTCAGCCTCCCGAAGTGCTAGGATTACAGGTGTGAGCCACCATGCCCACCCACCACCCTTGTGTAAAATCAGAAATACACACAAAATTTCCTAGGATTCACAGATAAACTGCTATAGTTATCTCTGGGAAAAGGGGTGAAAAGTAAAGAGGGAAGCAGGGTTTTCTATTTTAAAAAACCTTTTAAAATCTTTTAAGTGAAAGAGGAAAAAATTTCAACATGTGATAACATACTCTGTTGGGGAGGCTGGGCAAAGAGGCACTTTTGCTGTTGTGAATGCAAAAGGTACAACCCCTAGCAAGGGAAATGGGCAACATCGAGCAAAATTATGTCTGCATTTACCCTTTAACTCAGCCACCCTACTTCTAGAAATCTATACCAAAGGTTCACTGGCACAAACATGAAAAGATAAATATACAAGGCTATTCACTACAGCACTAACGTGGTTTATATAAAAGACCAGAAACAACCAAAATGTCCATCTACAGGGACAGCAATTGAAAAACCCATGGAACATCCACACAATGGTGTACTATGCAACAGTAAATAGGAACGAGGAATATCCTTCTATTATATACCACTATTCTTCAACTAGAGTTCCCAGACATATTACATGAAAACAACAACAAAAAAAGAAATACATGTGTTATATGTTATCATTTCTCTAAGAAAGAGAAAGGATACAAATACATAGAGAGGCATTTGCTTTCTTTTTTTTTTAATGGAAGGTTTCAAAAAAGTTTATCTATGGGGAAGAAAAGGTGGAAGTGACAGAATTTTTAAGTTAGACATACCATGTTGAGACTTTGGAACCATGTAAATGTTTTACATAAACAAATGAGTGATTATGTTGATAACATTAGGAATTAACATTTTTGGCACGGAAGGAAAGGAATAAAAAAAGACCTACAGAGTTAAGATGCCATACTCCTGAATTTTAGTAAGAAAGTATTAGTGTAATCTCATAAGGTAGTTTACCTTACCAAAAAAACCAAAAAACCAAACCTCTAGAAACAATTACCAACCAAGCAGCAATAAGCACCCCTATAATTCAGACTATGGTACCTAAATACCATTTCCCAAAAGAAAGGAACCAGAGTCCCTTTAAACAGTGCCCAATTCCAGATCTGGGGCAGGAAATCTACAAGATCAACTAGGGTCCCAGTGGCCAAAGGTAGGACAATTTGATTCAACATATTAATGGCAATGGATTGAAATAAATATGTTTGAATCCACAAGCCTATAAGAACAAATGATACTAAAACAAAACAAAACCTTACTAGTCATCTTTAAATGTTACTAGGGATCAACTTCACAATTCTACAAACTGGTTAACAAAAGGGAAAAGATCAAACATTTATCGGTTGTTCTTACACAAACTATACCTCTTGGTAACTGAACAGCTGAGGAGGCAGTTACTCCTCAAAGAGGTATTCTGGCTAATAAATGAAAACTAACTACATATTGACTGATGAGGAACCAAAAAAAGTAAATAAATTTTTAAAAATTGAAGACTAATAGAATTAGAGTATCACCATTTTGTAATCCCTAAATGAAATAATAGGCCACAACCACTAATGGCAGCTTATATCACAAAAGAGATAATCGCATGAAACATTATGTGACACGTTGAGACAGACACACTGCATCTATCAAGTATACTTGACAAAGGAGGGGAAAAAACTTCCCAAACCCATCAGGCCTCTAGATTACCAATTTATAAAATATCGGAGTACAGATGAACACGATAAATGACACCACTGTGTCCTGAGGGAAATTCTACAGGATATATAACCTAGTTTATTCAAATAATAAATAACAAGGAAAAATAAAAAGAGAGAGGAAGGGTGACACTTAATACGACAACGCATGGGTCTCATCTGAATCCTGATTCTCACAAATTATTAAAAAAATTTTGACAATTGAGGCAAATTTGAAATTAACTACATATTTGGTGATATTAAGGAACTGTTAATATTTTCAGGTGTGATGATGATACTGTGGTTATGTTTTTTAATAAGTCTATCTCTTAGAGATACGTACTAAAACATCTGTGGATGAAATGACAGGTTATCTAGGATTTTCTTCAAAGTAATATGAGAGAGGAAACAGATGAGGGTATGGATGGAATAAGATTGACCATGAGTTAATACTTGCTGAAGCTGGTGATGAGTTTATTATACTATCCTGTCAACTTCTGTAAATATCTAACATTTTCCATGGGAGAAACAGAAAGAGAAAGGGGCAGGGAGTAGAGACAGAGGAAGCGAGGGAGGGAGGGGAAGAGGCTAGCCAAGCTTTGGGACTCTAACAGAATTAATCAGATGAAGATTCTTCCAGGGCTTTCTGCTTTGGCCCAAAACCCCAGCTCTGTAAGTAAGGACCTTTCTTTCCCCCACACCCCGGCCCCAGGGAGGAAGACATACCGCAAAGATGAGTGAAATGTCAGTGGTAAGGGCCTGCACTCGGTGGAAGGAAGCAATAAGGGTGATGGGTAAGAAACCATCAGCATCCATTTTCCGTCGCAGGAAGAAGTCTCGCTCTAAATTGTCCACACTGAAGTAGTATTCACTAAGTGGGAGGGGAGAAGAAAGAAGCATCACCAAGGGATTGCTGCATAATTTACGAATACCATTCCCTGTTCTGCTATACACCCCAGCAATCTCACATAGCCTCTGCCCTAGCCTGTTCCTATCCTATGTACAAACAATGTTAAAGGATGAAAACAAATAATGTTATCCCTACCTTGCTTGGGTCAAATCACTCCCTCTGCCCTTCGGCCCCTTTGCATGCCCGACAAACGCCCCATCTTCCTTTAACACCCAGTTCAAATATTATTGGTCACTTTCTCATCTGCTCCTAAAACACTTATAACACTCTACTGAAATTATCTATTTCCCTGTATGGCTCCCCCACTGGTATGTGAGACAATATACCAGAGTGGTTAAGAGCAAAGGTGTTGCAATCAGATGGAAATGGATTTAAATCTGTGCTTTGCTACCTACTAGTTGTGAGACGCTATGCAAGTAACTGGGCCTTTCTGCTTATCTATAAAATGGGGATTAAAGACCCAGCTCATAGAAATTCGGCAAATAAAAATTACAGGATTAAATTAAGATAATGCCTGCAAAGCACTTAACACTGAGCCTGGCCAACGAGGGATGGGGAACCTGTGGCCACAGGGCCACAATGTGGCCTTCTAGGTCATTAAGTGCGGCCTTTTGACTGAATCCAAATTTTACAGAACAAATACTTTTATTAAAAGGTGTATAGCAGAGAAAGATAAAGCTTTTATTGCCTGCTTTAGTACTTAAAAAAGAACAATCCTGAAATCAAAGGCTGCAGGTTCCCCACCCCACCCCACCTTTCTTAAGGTAAATATGGTATTACTTCTGTAATAAACAACTTTATGAAAAGTTAGCTTAAAGAACAAGAGAAAAGCTATCTTTCACAGCTCCAGCCAGAGGCTACAATTGCTGCTAGCACCAGAAGGGCACGTGTCCAGTCCTCCTCTGTCCCGCTGTGACCCTTTGGCAACCCCTAACCTCTCACTCATCTCTCCAGGAAGAAGGCTCCTGTGCACTCACATCTGGCGCTTGATGTAGTCTTTGAGCAGCTCCTGGTCCACGCTGTAAAGCTCAGTGCTGCTGACATTGTCAAAGTAGTAGGTGATGTTGTTCATGTACTTGGGGGTGCGAGGCCCCTCTGCACCATCAAACTTTCGGTAGCCAAACTGGTAGTCGAAATGGGCTACAGGGGAAACAGGTGTCATGAGGGAAAGCAGATACCTGCCCGCCACCCCCGCTGCACTCCCCTGGACATCCCGGAGCCCAAAGGGGCCTCACGTACTTCGAGTGCCACCCCGGCCGCGTCCCCGGCCGCGACCACGCCCCCGTCCACGGCCACGGAAGGAAGCCCGCGCCCCACCAGCCCCATCACTCTTCACACTCGATGTCTCATCCTGGTCATGCCAGGCAGGCTCCGGTTTGGTCTCTGGTTGCCAGGCTGGGGTGGGGGGGGCCACGGGCACGGGAACGTAGGTGGCAGGCTCAGACCCTATGGGGAGAGGGGGCACTGGGTCAAGCCTGAGGGTGACCCCATGTCCAGGCCCTCCATAGTGTGTAGTACATACCTTTGATCTCCCCGCGGTTGGCAGGTATATGTCTTGGCTCCTGCGGGCGAGTAGGGCGTGAGGCCAATTTCTCTCTGGGTACTTCAGGCTTCATGTCTATTTGCAATGGAACCCACTTGTGTTTGTTCCCTGGGAGATAGCATGGACATGTGACAAAGGTTTGAGGGGAAACACCCCTCTCACCCAGCCCTACTCAATTCTTTTTCCCCTGCCCTGGGCTTGGGCCTAAATCACAATCTGGTGACCCTGGGCAAATCCCTTTCCTACACACTGGACCTCTTTTTCATTTCTAAAATAAGGAGGCCAGGTCAAGCACAATGGCTCATGCCTGTAATCCCAGCAGTTTGGGAAGCCAAGGTGGGAGGATCGCTTGAGGCCAGAAGTTTGAGACCAGCCTAAGCAACATACTAAGACCCAATCTCCATAAATAAGATTTTTTTTTAGTAAAGTTAAATTAAATTAAAATAAAATAAGGCCAGTGGTCCTCAGTGGAGACACCTGTTTAACTGCCAATATTGATTTCTGCAAGGTTAGAGAATCCTCTTCTGGAGCCAGACATACACAGCTTCCCAGAATAAAGGCTATACTTTCCAGACTCCCTTTAGACATGTGCAAAAATGGTCCCTATGACAGCTGAGTTAAAGTAGCCAATTCCATGTTGAGTTCCTAAAAGGAAAGAAGCTACCCTTCCCCTTTTCCCTTTCTGCTAGCTGGATGAGTCAACGTACCACAGCAAGATTAAAGGAATTAAAGAGTTGCCATACTAGCCCTGGCCTATTTACACCAAGCTGTTAGGTAAGAGAAAAACTTTTATCTTGTTTAAACCACTGTCACTTTGGATCTCTATTAGAACAGCCAAACCTGGACCCCACCATTTCAGCAGGTTTTTGGAAACTTTTATCTTTAAGAAGAGGACAGAGGGTTGAAGAGAGGATTGCTGCCCCGGTGGCCAACATCAGTCTCCCAGTGACTTCTGGGGGGGCACATGAGATTCTCCCAGCAACCCCCAGAGGTCTGATATTTCATAGTTCTGTCCTGCCACCTTCTCCCAAGTTCTGTTCCCAACCACTCACCTTTCTTCTTCTGTCCGCCTCTCTGGCAGTCCTCGTCCCCATTCTTCTCCTCCCCTGATTCGTCCGATTTGGTTTTTGGGCTTTCCTTACTATCGCACCCCTCTCCTTTCTCCTGTTCCTTCATGTCCTTCTTGGGTGGTAGCTTACGAGCAGGCAGAGGCTTGTGAGACTGCGGCTGCAGCGGGAAGGAACAGGGAAGTGAGGTGAGTGTGAGAGCCTCATGGTATGAGAAAGAAGGAGGGCACCTCCTGTCACTAGAAAAGAGGAGCAGAAAGAGCTACCGTATGCAACAGCAGGCTGAAACAGATGTACTCTAAGGTTCTGCTTTCATACCTGAGGTGCTTTCACTGAGAAGTATGGTCTAACAGGCCAGGAGGCAGAAGAGACAACTTGTCTCTCCAGCTTCTAAGTCTAAGTGACAGAGACAACCCCCAAGACAGGTGCTGGGGCCCGCAAAGGCCAAATGTTTACTCCCTGTAACAGGGCTGTGCTGTCCAGGTAGTCTGTGGGATAGAGATGCTGACCCTTGGCCTGTCAAAAACAAACCTGTCTGTGAACTGAAGGTGGCCATAGCTGTGAGTAAGGGATCCAGGCCACTGGCCCAGACAAAAGTGCTGGGAAGGAGAGAACTGACCAGAATTCCCCCCCTTTGCTAGGGTTCAGGAGAGCTATATAAAGGTTTCCCAACGCATGTGGTCTGGAGGTCAGTTCTTGCCCTAATGACCACTCTCTTGTTTCACTCATAGAAAACCCAAGTTTAATGATGCAGAATACGGACTTTGGAATAATATGGTACTTCTGACTTCCAACCCCCACTTTGCCATCAAGGGTTAGTAATTAACCTCTCCAACTCTTAGTAGCCTCATCTGTAAAATGGGAATCATAAAATGACCTATCTCAGACTCGCTGTGAGGGATAGATAAGATGATGAATAGACCATAGAGCTGACCCTTGAACACCACCACAGGTTTGAACTGCATGGGTCTGCTTATACACAGATTTTCTTTTTCAACCAAATATGGGTCAAAAATACAGTATCAGTGGGATGCAAAACCAGCATATGCAGAGGGCAAACTTGTTATACTCTGGTTCTGCAGGGCCGACTACAGGACCTGAGTATGCAAGGATTCTGGTATGCACAGGGGTCCTGGAACCAACCCCTCAAGTATACCAAGGGGCAACTGTACATGGCAGTTCCTGACACAAAGCAAAGGCTCAAATGATAACAATTCTTAGCTATTTCAATGTTGCCCATTTTATATTAACCACTCCATTTTAAAAACTCACAAAGGTTAAGACCTGAGACTCTGAAAGCTTGAGAACCCAAAATGTATATTTGTAGATAAGAGCTCAAACCTGCCCATCCCTCCCCACAGACTCACCTGCACACTCTTGTGGGCTATTTCTCCAGGTGTGGGCCAGTTGATGGCATCTCCAAAGTCACCAACCTGCAAAGCACATTCTATGAGGGATCCCAGGGGGTGGAGGCAGATACCTGTCTCTGCCATTCAGCCCCTCACCCAAGGTCTAGCTCTACTAAGAGATCAGAGGCTGAATCAGTCTGTCCACTAGGACCATCCACACTGGAGGCCCTGAAGGGGGCTCCCATGTTATTCGGAAAGGATCCAGAACTACCTGGCAGTCCAAAAGCACTCACTAGAACAGGGGAAAGGCCACTACTTCCAGGAAGTCCTCTTGGGTTGCCCACTGCCATTCCTTACCTTGCTGCCTTTGCGCTGTTTAGGAACAGCTGCCCTCACCACCTTGGCTGGAGCAGAATGTTCTGTGGGAACAAGAAGAGAGAGATGGTTATGCAGAGACTGCATGAGGGGGCCACTACCAGCTCTTCACCCTCATTACCATCCCCACCTCACCAAGCAACCTGCTGGTTCTCACAGAAGGAAGAAATTGTGGAGGGGAGAAAGACACCAGTAACAATTTTACCAGCCCCTTCCTGAAGAAATCACGGAAAGTGAGATCGTGCAGAGAGCTGGCAGCCAAAACCCCAGGAACTAAGACTCTGAGGTGACAGGGCCCTTACAGAGTACAGCTCTACACCCTCTTGTAAAACAGGGACTGAGGCCTGGAGACACAAGTCCATGCCAGAGGTAGCACTACAATTTAGTGCTCTTGAATCATGGCAGATTTCATAAAGGAAGGGCCTGAAGGATCATTTCTGGCCCTAACATTCTAGAGCTCTGTGTGTGCGCAGACCAGGGCTAGTGATCATTGAAAAAGCAAGATTAAAAACCCTAAGTAGGCAATCAAGAATTCCAGGGACTACACCAGGGCCAGCCACTCAGGAAAGATTTTGTCTGCTTCCTCAGTTTCCAAAGAAAAAGGTAGGCTCCCACTTGACTTAGCACTTCCACCTACAGCAATTGATCCTAATAATACAAATTAGACAAAGGTTATGTACAAAGATGTCTACCAAAGTGCTATTTATAACTTCAAAAACCTGAAAACAACCTACATGTTCAACCAAAAGTAGGCAACTGGCTAAATAAAGTTCATCCATTTTTAGAATAGCCATTAAAAAGATAAATGATCTCTATTGATACAAAAAGATGGACACAATAAATGAGAAAAGATATAAAACAATCCCATTTTTGTAAAAAAAAGTGTACATGCACACATACTGTACATGTATGTGTACAACTCTAGAAGAATATATAAGTATTACTAGGAGTTAAGTACTATATTTACAGAGATTTAAATTTTTGGACAAAGACAGACGTGGGCTTTAAAGAAAACAAATGTCTTCTATTTTTTAAGGAAGTGGTTCTAGTAGGTCCAGTCCCTTCTATACCCACATTTGTTTTCCCAACACAGTTCTGAAGGGTTTCTGCCTCTCCCTCCCCCAAATATCCACAGGAAAAGACACATCCTGAGACTCTGCTCACCCACACTTCTCTCCCATCACTTTGCCTCCACTGCTGGCCAGCCATGCCAGGGTAAGAGCTGCCCCCAGTCCCTGAGCAGAGAAATTTGTCTAGCTGGCCTTGAAAGGAATGTTCTACTCCTTGATCAGACTCATGTTACCTTAATGAGTAGAGAGTGTCCTTGCCTGATTTCTAGCTGTGAGGCCACTGCATTCCTGCTTTCCACCCTCTACCGGAGCCACTGCCCCCTCGAGACACCCCACATGCCTTCTGAGACCTGGAGCTGTGCATCTCAGCCCACAGCATCCCCCACACCCAATGCTGGGCAGTGGTGAACCAGAATATTTCAGTCCCAAGAGGAAGGAGCCCCCAGGCCCAGGGAGCTACTCTGCACCCACTCTCCTGTGACTCCTGGGTTGGCCCAGACAAGCCTTAACACCATCTAGTTCCTTGATAAGCCTAAAGATCTTCACCTGCTTCAAACCAGGACCAGGTTTGTATATATCTGAGCTATGGCTAGTTATCACTTCTCCCAATACCCAAACACCACTCCATACATGCTACCAGAGAACAGACCAAAAGGCCTGCAACACCAAGTTCATTAACAGTATGTTGGAAAGGGGAATGAGGTTCAGAAGGGAACAACTTTTCCTTAAAAAGGCGAAGCAAAGTTTTCCAGGTCTTGTTTGATCACAAAGGGACATGGTAAAGAACTAAAAATTCAGTCTTCAATCAGTGTGAGAGCCCTCCTGCCATGAAAAGATTCCTGACTCTACTACCGATTCCAAGCTGATGAGGGCAATCGGATAGTCTGGGTATACACATGAATATTCTTAAATCAGTCCTGTGTAGAGGCCTGTGTGACAGACGTCCCTCTGTCAAGAAGACTCATGGGCCCTGTTCTTGCTCTGCTCCCAGCTAGGGGCTCAGGTTGCCCCTGTCAAGGAGAACCCAGAGAGGCAGAAAAACCCACTGGGGAGAGAGAACCACTTCTGCCTTTATGTAAAATCCTCAGATCTATTAAAATCATTTTGGGCCACAGGGAAACCCAGGAAGGCTCAGATGAGCTGCCGTCAGGCCCTGCAAGAGGCTGGAAAGAAAATTAGGCTTTCTGACTTGACTTCAATTACATATCCCTTTCTGGGTCTCCTCCCAGCTACCCACCCTCACCAGGTAACTGCCACAGGGCTCACAAACATACGCACACACAGAATATACAGGTCCAGCTGGGCCCGGCATCTGAAATGGCTCCCCATGAAAACCAATCGTTTACACAGGCACCAGTCCCCACATCCAGCACCATCCCAGCCAAATTAGGGAACGATCTTCCTTCTTCTACCCCTGCATTCCGAAACTGCCTGCCATCCCACTGACCCAAGCCAAAACCTCAAACCGGCACCCCTTGGGGGCCAGGCACACTATAGCCAGGGTGCCCTTCCCCCAGCCCGAAGACTCTGGGGCCACAGCGCGTCTTCCTTCAGCCCAAGCCCACCTGGTCCAGCAGGGACAGCAGCCAGGTCTCTGGTGGCAGCTGATCTGGTCACAGGGGAGGACAGCACCCCCCGTGAGTCTACCAGCCAGGCAGGGCTATGTCTGCCATCTGTGGCCATTTGCAAAGACCACAAAGACCCCTGCTCTGGTTCCCTGTCGCCCCCATGAATATCCTCTCTCACGCATGTACGTGCAAACACACACACGTGCACCTTGCGAGACACAGGATCTGCCCCAGCCCCTCAGTTCCCGAGTCGAACGACCACATCATGCCACGGTGCTTGCTCAGGGTAAGCCACGCTCCCTCTGTGGGGCCCACCACGGCCTGGGAGCCCCCCACTGAGCCCACAATGCCACGGAAATCCTTGTTGGCCACCCCTAGAGGGGCCTTCCCTGCTAGGAAGAGCTCAGAGTTGACAGCTGCCTCCTGCCATGTCAGTGGCCCCCAAGAGCCTCAGGGGCGCCAGGGCCCTGGGAGGGTGGTATGGGGTGTGGGACTCTCCTCCCCCACTCCTGTCTCCCTCCCCCTTTTCACTGTTGCTTTCTATGTCTAGGTCCCTAGACCTCTCACTTTTTTAAAAGTGTGTTTTGTGTAGAGAAGAAAAAAAAAAAAAAAAGCCCAGCTCAAGAAACACCATCAATACACTTGCCCAAGAAAACAGTTGTAGAATGTTAGAGCAGCAAAAAGGACCATAGTTCTAATCCCCTCTATTTGTAGATAGGGAACTGAAGCCATGAGGGGGGAGAGGGCTTTCTCAGGACTAGCTACAGAACCAGGATGGGAGCTAAAAGTCTCAACTCCCTTTGCCAATGCTCTTAAATCAGCTCACCAGAAATTTCATGGGGCCCAGTGGTTCCCACGTCTCTCTACTGGTAGAGAATGGGTCAAAATCTTCTTGGTGCAATCTCAGGCATTTCTCTAGTTTTTTCTAGTAAACAGAGTTACTAGTGACACGGAGTAGTTCTCAGAGAGAGGGAGGCAGAAGCGTGGAGAGGCAAGCCCTAGGCAGGGCCCAGTAGGTTATGTGTCCACAGGTCTCTGGGGCCCAGGATTCTCTAGGGGAGGATGGCAGACAGAGGCCCTAGTAGGGTGTTCTTCCTTGACTAAGGGGCTAACAGGTATCTGGAAGAGGAGGGAAACCACTTTTTGTCCCACAGGACCATACTCAGCCAGGAGTCAGTACTGACTCTAATTCTCCTCCTAAACATACACATGCATTTGTTAAAAGTGAAGCACACCAAAATTTCTATGTATAAGAAGCAATCTGAATTTCAGAGCCCCCCCGACTTGAAAGTCAGCTTCCTCTGTAAAAGTGAAGTCATAGTTATCTCATAGGGCTGATGGAACATTTAAATGACCAAAGTGTGGTAAGAGTGCATAGCACACAGTAAATGCTCAACAAATGCTTCGTATTGCAATTTAAATTTACAAAGGAAACTTAAAAGCAATCCCCATTCTCCCCCTCTAGAGACAGAGATAGGGATGGGGGTGGGGGAACACATTAAATAATCTCTCAACAAGAAAAAGAATCAGAGTGTGTGGAAAAACTCTTGGGGATCAATTGGCTCAATTCACTCAATCTAGACTGCAAAGGAGGCCCTCTCCCCAGCCTGGCTCTTACTCCGGGCAGTTACCCACGGGGACGACTGCCCTCCAGAGACAGGCAGTGTCTGGGCTCCAGAACAAGTTTTTCCAGGTAAGAGGAAAGAAAAGCTTCAGAATTTTGCAGTTTTAAATGGCGGAAAGAAAGATGGGGGAATTTACCACGGGTTCCCCAGCAATGGCTTTGGCATAAAGCCCTGCTTTGTTAGAGAGGAAGGAAGACCAGGGTGAAGGCCTGGGGGTTCTTTTTCAGTTGAAAAAATCGTGTCGTTCCATTTTTCACCCCACACAGAAAAGGAAGAGAGCCCAGGCCTCAAGAAGTCTCTCCCAGGCCAGGCTTGACTCACACCTGTAATCCTAGCAGTCTGGGAGGCAGGGCGGGAGAATCGCTTGAGACCAGCCAGAGCAAGAGCGAGAACTTTTAGTCTCTACGAAAAATAGAAAAAATTAACTGGGCATCGCAGCCCATGCCTGTAGTCCCAGCTATCTGAGAGGCTGAGGCAAGAGGATTGCTTGAGCTCAGGAGTTTGAGGTTGCACTGAACTATGATGACACCATTGTACTCTAGCCTGGGGGACAGAGAGACAAGACCCTGCCTCAAAAAAAAATAGTCTCTCCCAGCTTACCAAAGGGGCTAAACTCATAAACACCTGGTACAAAGCCAGATACAAAGATTAAAAAGTATTTCCTATATTATCTCCTTCCAGAAAGATCCCAAGGCTCCTGACTTTGTGAAACAAAAGCTACCCAGCAGGGCTAGATTTAGGAGGTCTAGGACACAAAGACTTGGTTCAACCAAGGAGAAAC